CGAGACAATGCTCTACGTTCTACGATCTACGGCTAAGCGTAAGTACGCCTCTTTCTATTATTAATTAAATAACCCGAATTACAACTCTGAATTTTCAAGTGATTTTGTGTTTTCTCGCATAAATTCACCAGCAACGAGTTTTATGAAAGTTAACTAAAGAGTCACGCAACGAAGAATATTGTTAGGATCACCATGGATCGGGGGAAAAAAAAAGATTTTTGAAAAGTATGAAGATGGCATGCGTACTCGGAACCCAGCTATTGCATATCGTACACCGAGTACGATGGTAAATAACAAAGACGTTCTTACATCGGATAACGTTACGAAGGGGGCTGATCAGTTACCAAACAAAGATCGCTGAGTTTACAGCATGGTGAAAAATTGCTTTTGATCTGGATAGCAGAAAAATATTTATGTACAGTATCATATGCACTACGTCATTTGTGCAGAGTATATATTATTGTGTTTGTATTTTGGTATTAAACAGGATAGTAATAAAAACAACAGTACTTTTTGTAAAGAATGCGTTAATTACTTTTGCATTATTTCTATTTGGAAAAGTTCCTTTGGTAGATGTCTAAATATCTGGAACGGATTAATGACGTATACCATTGCATTTGATAGAATCAGTTGTAGTTAATATTTTTAATTCCAAATCCTCATCTCAAAATTTCGGTTTATTTTGGTTGAAAATATAAATGACTTTCTTTTAATGAACCTGCAAAGCAGTCAATGTTCTATTTTCGAGCATTAAGTTGATAAATAAATATGTGTTGCCACATCGAAATACATAATTTTTACGTAAATCATTCGAATTTCAGGAAGGAGTTAAGGCTGTATAAAAGAGTATCTCACACATGGATACTATGTGAGATTTCCTATAAATAGTCTCAGCCTCTTCCTGAAACTTTAGATGATTTATGTTCAGCGGTTTCTGCTTTTCCCTAACAGTTAAGACACGAGCTCATGAGCATGACTGAAAGTAGAAGTCATTCTACTCAAACAAGGAAAAACAACTTAATTCATATCTTTTCAAGCAAAATTAGTGACGTAGTCTTTGTTCCTTCATTGACAATTTCGAATGATGGACAGATTTAAAAAATATAATAATATAGATTAGAATATATAGACCAATTAAATAAATTATTTTTAGGAAAAGTAATAATATAAAACATGAATTTTCATTTAGATTATGAGAATCTATAATATAACGCCGTAAAGATATGCTCATCTATCATCGATAAACTTTTGAGTTACCACTCTACAAAGGGTAAGACAATATCTGAAATCTGATTAGGAAAACTTGACGATATAATAGAAATGTGTTCCCACTCGCACTATATGTCTTAGGCAATTTACTAAACAAAAATGTTGCCACTGCCAGAATTAAAATATTTTTATCTTCCATGCGGCAGTATTTTGTCATACAAATTTATTCCATTATTAACAAATTAAAGCGATTTAAGAACAGTAAACGCAGATCCATTCGATCATTGCTAATCACTATCTGCACAAGGAAACGATACCAGTTGGATTCATTAAAATCATCCATATATACATACAAAGAAGAGTGCCCGTTTGTTTGTGTGGTGTACTTCATATAAATCTAGTTTTATTCCGATATTGATGAAATTTTGCCTACTTGACCTTCAACACAAGAGGAAGGTCGCTGTCTTGATCAGATTTCGAAAAATTACAAACGATGTCCCCATTCCGGGCGTTTATAACTTAGAACATTGCGCTAACATCGCCTATCGGAGATCCGGAAAAATACTGGAGACTTTAGTTAGGGTGGCGTACAATATAACGCGGTAAGTACATCGGTATAGACATCTTCTGTTTAAGAAGGTGTTGGTATAGCGCATCGCACTGAGGGGAAAGAGTGACAGAGGGAAAAGGTGGTGGTGTGGCACTCTCAAGAAGGAGCTAATAAATACTCGCTACCCGGAAGTGGTGAGATGCACTCGAAGGGGGCGACAGAAAACGCCAGTATACTTCGTCAGGTATTGTGTCTAGGTTGTGCCTTCTGCGTTGAGAATAAACATTTGAATTATTTAAAAAAATGCTTGCCATCCGGTGTGTAGAATGGGTAATTCTAGTTAATTTTTATTGATGCAAGCTTAATTTTCATCTTTGAGCAACCCTGTGAAATCAGAGTTTTGTAAACTGGGGGTCGCGGGACCTGCAGCAGGGGTCATCAAACATTTTAGCAGTTTTTATATTTCTTTAACTTATTACATTATAATAATTTTACAATTACCAAATATTTTTACACGGTTTTACTCACGCGTTTGTCGGATTTGCGCAATGCTTATGTAGGTCCCACAAAATGTTCGTAAATATTATAAGGTCCAGGGGTCGCGAAAAAAATATCAGTACTAAAAAGGCATCGCGACTGAAAAAAAGTTTAAGAAGCCCTGGTAAGAGAAAAGTTTTCTGTTTAATTTTACTTAGTATAAGCCCTTCGCGAACGCGATTTTGCATATACGCATTATCTTTATTACTCCCACTTAATTTGTCCAGCGTCGGAATTTCGTTCATATGCCGTTCAAGGTTCATTCATCAGCCTGAATGCTTGTTGACATCAGCTGTGGTCAGAAGCTATCAACCATTTTAGAGGATTTATATCGGCCCACCAGCGAACGAGTGGTCAAATCGCTGGACACTGGTAGTTCAAACCTGGATTCGATTTCAGTCGAACGACCTGGCTGCAAAAGCGTTTTCATAGTTTTTCCCATTTAAAACTTGTATAGGAGCCGGTTTCCATTAGGAAGTCCTCCATGAATGCATACCTTCCCTTAGATAGATAACCCTAGCGTTCTTTGCCATAATCAATAAACCAAAGGATTCATATCGAATTAAAAAAACTTTAATAATAATAATAATAATAAAAATTGCGAAACCTGCAAAAGGAAATTCGCAGCAAAGGATTTTTAGATACGGGAGAAGAAGAAGTTAAAATGATGATTGTTTAATGAAGAATTGGATGATCTTATAACAACAGTCAACAATGAACACTGTGATATGAAGATACAGCGCCTTACACAAAGTTAAAAGAATTGTTAAAAAAGGCTCAAGAACTGTCCGATTTCGAAAAGGAGAATGATCCAAACAAAGTAAGAAAACAACATTTTATACGAGAGTCATAGAAATTCTCCGTACTTCTTTACCGTGAAACTTTTTCAAAAGTTTTACTATTAAAGTTCACTAATACTTTGTTTTTACTAGCAAAACATAAATCGCTGGCTCTTTTTATAAAACAAATAACTGTATCACGTAAGCAGCAATAACAATAACTTCAGTTAACACTTGTTTAATTTTTTTCTCTCCATTGCAACAATATTTAAATTTGTTTAATTACACTAATTCCTTAATCTCAATTACGACTAACACACTTTTTTTCCCTAGAAAGTTAACTTTGCAAAACGCTTTTTTGCTGGACGTGCAATGTATTAACGATGTAACCCTCCCACTCTAGGCAAGGTTTTGCTGTATATGCTATATGCCCCCCCCCCAATTTTTTTTCACAATTTTTAATTCACAAACAAAATTAATTTGACAACTAAACACCATTGATTTCACAAAGTATATACAAACCCCCCAAGACAGGGGGAAAACAAATTTCATTACTTAATTACTTTAAATATAATACAGGCCGATAACGTTTGGTGACAACAATCTGAAAAGTGAATGAAACCTGACTTCACAATTTTATTTAAAAGTAAAAAACTTTTACAATTCTACGAAAATGGCGATTTAGCGGCTCATTAAGTTTCTTTCAGGTTGTTATGACTGAATTTTCAAAAATATCATAAATTGTTTATTAACGATTCGTTAAAACTCTTGATCTTCCTTCTTTTACGCACGAAGCGAGAACGTTTTTAAATGCAATTAAATACAAAACAAAAGCTAGAAAACTTTCTTAAGAAAATAATTCGAAAGATTTCGCAAGTTTAAAAATTATGTCAAAAATTTCGGTTTTAATTCCAAAACCTACTCGATCCGCACATTCCACTGATAAATTAACAATAAAATTTCATTCATATTCACAAAAAGGTTGTGAGTATCCCAGCCCCCCCCCCAAAAAAAAGAAAAACTTCAAAACTGTACTCTCTTCTAAAATTCATTATAAATCAATTTTAACATTACATAAAATTCCTGTTCCTTTTAAAATAAATATTGTGGCAAGTCATCCAGTACCTAATATTATCCTGAATTTATCTGAATAAAAATTTTAAAATTTTGCAATTGTTGAAATGAAAAAGTACTCGCATAAAATGCTTGGGAATTGGTAACTTCGTAGAACGTTAAACTTATGTCACAGTATTGTGACCAAATTTTTATCACAAATTTCATAATCTCCCATTTACTGTTTATAATATTTAATCCTGGTTTCCTATAATTATATCGAGATCACATTCAAGTAAACTTAAATACCACATAAGTATCTATAAAAATAATTAAATAAACAGCTTTAAGATTCCACAGATTCAAAAGTCACTCGGAAAGTATGAATTTTTTTTCTATAGAATGTCTGATTGATCATTACTTTAACTGCTAAACAGTAAAGAAAGTTTTAACTTATTTTTAAATAAATATTTAGCTAAATAATTCAGTTTCAACTAAAGAGAACCTGCCAGAATTAATATTTCATTTGTCCCTATTTTCAAAGTTCGTATATCTTAAATTATTTCATTACTATTGCTATCTAGCAAAATTTTGCGCATAAACATTTTTAAATTCCTCTTCTCATAACACTTGAATTTTTTAAATTTAATTTACTCTTTAAATTTTAAACTTTAATTGGTATTTGACATAAAACCCTTTCACCAAAATAATTCAATTTCAACTGGCAACACCATCAAAAATTAATGTTTCACTTATTCCTACTTTTCAAAATTCTTTCATCTCATCAACCGCTCTCTAACTAATTATTTTAAAATTTAATTAATTAAATTAAAATTTTTAAAGTAAAATTTGTATTTGATATAAAACCTTACCAGGAGAAGCATCTAGAAGAGCTAGTATTACAGGAAGTAAACAACTCAGTCCAACTAAGATCACCATATCTCGCATTAAAGGATTTCGTCCTATTCGGTCGAAATCTCGACGCAATGTTCGCCGCATCGAGAGCGAAAAGACAAATGCCAGAATGCCGAAAAACCAGATTCGTGTTGCCTGGGGCAACTTTTCTTTATCCTCCTGACACAGAAATTAATGCTGACTTAAGAAAGTTGTTCCTTCTTAACAATAACGCCTTTTTAATAGTTCAGTGGCTCTCATACGCGTCAGTTTGGGGTCGCGACGAAGCATGAATTCATCATTTGAATGGAGATGCCACAGACGAGTTTAAAAAGAGAAGCGTGTATCAACGAAATGTGAAGTTATGTGATTTCATGGTAATGAATTTACAAACTTGGAGATATTTATCCGCATATCTTCGCAGCTTCAAGAGGATCCCGAATTTCACCACGGTGAAGTTCTGTTTTTAATTTTCAATCTTTGGTTGAAATAGGCGTGGGGAAACTCTTGAAACTGACGAAAAGCATTTATATAATACTAATACATATATTAGCTGTTTGCGTGGCCAGTCCCCTAAAATAGTTGTAATAAAAATATATAAGTCATTATTTTAATGAATCGTAATTTCACGAGTATAGTTAGTAATAAATAATAATTGAGATGAATCTGCGTTTATTATTTTAAATCGTTTTAGTTTGCTAATTAATAACACAACGCATTTTAAAGAAAAATTAAATATCACGAATGTCAGCACACTGCCGCATGGAAAGTAAAAATATTTTAATTTGGACAGTGGTAATACGTTTCTTTTAAATCGCAGAATTTTTTGATTAAATTCGAAGGACAAATAAATACACTTTTTTCATATCACCGAATTTTATGATTAAATTTGAAACATAATATCTTACACTTTCCCGAGTGGCAACACAAAGCTTTTAATTCGCGAAAGTTTAATTAAAAGTTGATTAAATTCGCACAAAATAAGTAAAAAGAACATTCTACATTCCGGCTTCCAGGTGCAAATGTTCCATACCTGTTCAAAATTTGGCGGCTCCGCGTGTCGCCGTTTTTTCACAATGCGAGAAACATACATGCATACAGATTTTTCACTGTTTAATAATACAGACTCAAGTAACTGTTACCTCATTTTTTTGGCTTCTAATACACTTAAAGCCTTTCTTAACCAGATGAGCAGTTCACAATATTCCTATTTTTCCAAAAGATGTCATATCTAAATAAGGCACTTACTCTTCAAGTACTCATGTTTTCATCCTTACTTTTTTCTTCAGGAAGTCAGGTATACACTCATTAGCTAATACAAATATCAATTTTACTATCTGCTTAAAGACATATTGCATTGGTAACAGAATTTTTTGCTTATAATGCAGTTCAGCTCATATTCTACCATCCAACTAAAATTACCCCAAAATTGAAGCTGAGTTATCTAAAATGTTCATCAAATTATATACATAAAAATAAACAGAAATCTTTTTTATAATAACTTAGCTACAGGGAATATTGCCTCCGGTGGCACCATTTTTGAAGGGGCATTTTTGATAAGAAATTTATTACAAACATCTTCAGTGAAGAGCTTAAAAAATGAGAATTGGCTCCATGGAGAATGGAGAACAAGTACAGTAAAATTCATAAGGCACCTAGCCTGCTGTTTGGGATTGGTTTCCAGGTCAAAATGGCCACCAGCAGGAATTTTTCCCATGTGCAATGTGAATATCAGATGATTTCCCATACAAATTCCTTAACGAAGGCATCAATTCTCTTAGGCAGATAGCCCTTGCATGCTTTGCCATAATTAAAAAATCTGATGTGTACACCACAACTTCCTTGTACTCAATATTAAACTATATGCAATTTTCCTGCATTTCATTTAAACATATTGAATAAGCAGTTAATGAATTTTGAATTAAATTTACTTCGTCGGTAGAGCATAAACCATAAAAGAATAAATTCACTCTTTAAAGTTCACTGTATTTATTTAACACAGCAACACTTCGACGCTAGATTCACTTAACAGCATTACATATCATTTATTTTATAACTCACAGAGTGCACAAAAATTATATCTGAAAAAATACCACATGTTGTATTCAAATAATATAATAAATCTAAAACGATGTATAAAAAAATGAAACAAATAGAAACAGTTTTTTACAGACGATTCAGCGCCACTTATCTAATGGGCATTCGCTTCTAATTAATTCAGTTCTCACTTTGCGGCAAGGCAAAAATAAGTAACAATTCAAAATATTTTCATTAAAAATTGAAAGACAGAAAAACATAAAACATCAAGTAAAGTTAAAAGAATTAAAAAGATTTTTTTTTTTACAATTAAAATTAAGAGTTTCTATGCAAAAACAAGCTAATAACTTAAATAATAATTCCAGAATGAATTAAGCATAATTGAATTCACAATAATAAAAGAAGACATCATTTTATTGTTGCAAAGTTTAGTTTCTCTAGACTGGCAACAAATCCACTATTCTGCTAAATATACAAATATGACTGCGAAAAGCGAACGTAAGCAAAAATTAGGCTGCACCGCACTTAAAACTTTTAAATTGTTGATAATTCTACAATTATCGCATGCAGATTGAGTAAAGGCATAAAAACCTTGATCAGAAGATAAGAACAGCACAATTCAATCAAAAGCAAAAAATGCACAATTTACAAACATATAACAATAAAGAAACCGAGCTCACTGAGCCGAGTAACAGAGTGGACGTATATTTATATATTGTTGCGTTATTTTTTTTTTCTTCTGTTACAACAGTTGTTACGTTATTTTCTTCCCTCACGTTCGTATGAGGTTCGTAGATTTGGAGTGAATAATGACAACACTAGATGAAGTATCGAAACACACTTTATTTATCAATATTAATCAGGACAGCTCAAAAACACTTTTACAGTCGTCGAAGATTGACTATAAACACGCTGGGTTTATATTTTATATCGCTGGGAACAATCAGCGACACAGCCTTTACACTGTCAGGCAATAACTGTGGAGACAGCTTCCTGCAAAGCACCCAACTCTCCTTGGTCATTCTTGGAACTCCACATACTCTTGAGACTCTCCACGCTACAACTCGCGATGCACTCGACGACACACGAGCACAGCTCCCGACTCTTTGGTTCAGTCGTTCCCGGAGCTCAACACACACTCTCTCGATGCACTCAACGACACACTTGGCACTCGTTGCCCGGCTGTCAACTCGATCAACGTGACACACTCACTGACTGCGGACCAGCAGGGTTTATATAGCTTTCGACCTATGTTCTGGGCTAAACTGGTAAGAATTCGTTCCAGAAGGTTCTCCAACCGTCCACGGTATATCGCCAAATGTGGCAACCCTGCCTTTCTTGCTATTTTATGGCAACCCTAAAACTGCTTTGGGGGGAAGCCATCTTACTGCGCCTGTATATTTCGTAACACTGCCCCCTCCCAAGGACTGGACGTCCCGGGCAGTACAATCCTTGGTCAGAAGCCAAATTTGATAAAAACATTTTAAAACATACAGATAACATAAACAAAGAAACATTATTTACACTATGTACAAGTTATATACACAAATTAACACACAACAATTTTAAATTATACAAATTAAAGTTCAGAAAGAATTTCAGTATCAGTCTTTTCATGAAGTTATACCTGGGTCAAATACTTTTCCACTGCAGTTCTCAGAAACATTTCTGTTTTGCATACAGTCTGAAGATTCAGTTCTTTCAGATTTGTCATCCACAGGAAGATGTGAAACAATCTGTTCACCACTCTGTAGTTCATTTGCAGCATGCATACAGTTCACCTCGGTATCATTAGCAGATGGTACATGCTTATTTACCTCTATTTCCTGAAAACCAGTTCTGATGTTTGCACCAGGGTCATGAATAGAATACGATCCTTTACAAGCAGAAGTATCCGGGTTTGGAATCAAGTCCTTGTCTGCAAAACCTGCATTATGAAGCACACACATAGTTTGCGAATAACGTGAATTTTCTTGCAATACTGGAGCACACTGCCTAAGCTGCACTTCAACTTCTGTCATCTCTGCATCACATGCATTTTCAGGTGGTTCAATACTCGCGAACTGCGACTTCATAACTTCACTATCAGTTTTGATGAACTTGACAATCACATTTTCACTTTCTTCCACTTCAGGCACTCGAGAATCAAAATCTACTTTCCCGTCTTTTATTTCTTCATGTTTTCGTTCATCATCTTTAATCCCATTAGTTGTTTCATCTTTCATTTCTTGATCTTCCTCAGACAGTTCATTAGCTACTTTCTTCATTTCTTCATCTTTTGATTCTTCAGAAGCCACTTCTCTCATATCCACATTGTCTTTTATGGCTCCAGTTTCTTCTGTAAGCTCCACTTTCACCTGTTGGAGTTGCTCTCGTACCTTTTCTTTGCCGACATTTATTTCTTCTCGTTGGGAGTTCTTTTCTTCCAGTGTAGCTTTCATCTCCTTCAGTCCGGCTTTCAGCCTTGATCTCTTGATATCCGGCTTTAATTTCAGCTCTCATCCCTCGATATCTGGCTTTTATCTCAGCCCTCATCTCGGCTAAGAAGTCCATCAAAGTCTTCGTTTCCTCCGCCATGGTTTTTTTCTTCAGGCGGATCACTGGCATTCACTCGCAAATCCCACTTCTGACACCAGTTGTTACGTTTTTCTTTCCTTTTTTTCGGACACCAGTTGTTACGTTCCTTCACGTTCGTAGATTTGGAGTGAATAACGACGACACTGGATGAAGTATCAAAACACACTTTATTTATCAATATTAATCACGACAGCTCCAAAACACTTTTACAGTCATCGAAGATCTACTATAAACACGCTGGAACAATCAGCGACACACCCTTCACACTGTCAGGCAATAACGGTGGAGACAGCTTCCTGCAAAACACCCGACCCTGCTTGGTCGTTCTCGGAACTCCACGTACTCTCGAGACTCTCCCTGCTACAACTCGCGTTGCACTCGATGACACACGAGCACAGCTCCTGACTCTTCGTTTCAATCGTTCCCGGAGCTCAACATGCTCTCTCAACAATGCACTAAAAAGACTCTCTCGATGCACTCAACGACCCACTTGGCACTCGCTGCCCGGCTGTCAACTCGATCGACTCGTTAGGTGAGACACACTCACTGACTGTGGACCAGCAGGGTTTATATAGCTTTTGGCCTGTGCTCGAGAACATTCTGGGCTAAACCGGTAAGAATTCGTTCCAGAAGGTTCTCACACCATCCATGGTATATTCGCCAAATGTGGCAACCCTGCCTTCCTTGATATTTTATGGCAACCCTAAAACTGCTTTGCCGGGAAGCCATCCTACTTCGCCTGTACATTTCGTAACAATATTTTTGGTGCAGCCGATTGTAACCAAAATGGGAGCTGCACATCTACATGTTATAGCAGTCCCATAATACAAAATTTAAACATTCTGAGGTTACTTGTTTTTGAGTTATGTGAGATAGGTATGTACAGACACCGCAAAAAAAAAAAAAAAAAAAAAAAAAAAAAAAAAAAAAACTCTTCAGAATTCATTTTAAACCAATTTTACAATGTTTTGGGAGAAAAAGAGGCCTTTATTCTGTTCATATGTACGAATGTCATGCAAAAATATCGTTAAATTGCATTTTTGATAGCAGTCAAAATGGACATTTTCGTTGAAATATGATATCCGAACTTTTTTTTGCTATTACAATACTTTCTTTTTACGTTGCACAAAGAAGTAATAAAGAACACCAAACTAAACTAACTAGGCTGAATTAGTAGCATTAATTTTATCAACTTTGTCATTGGTGATGTGCACAATCACAAAATGCTGAATTGTGATATGAAATTGAATCGAGAAGAAAATTATTTTAGTATTCAAAGAAATTAGAAATTTTAATAGCTTCACCTTGCTGAGCCTTCTTAACTCAGTTGAAACTTTTGAATAGTAAATATGAATGATATAAATAAGGAACCGTTACTTAATGAGAGAGAAATACTTCAGAGTTTCATTTCTGTTACTGCTTGTGAATACAAAAATGATATATGGAAAGGCAGTTGATTAAAACTTTTGTAATTTATTCCAAAATAAATTTTTTTCTTTTTAAATTCTAAAATAAAATCTTCAAAATGCAATTCCAACTATTTTAATTCTACTTTGAATTTTACAACCCTCTTGCTGTATACTCGTTGTGAGAAAAGTTTTTCTAGATACAAGTACCCAAGGCCTAAAAATTAGTAAACACTGTACTGCCTACAGACATGGAATTAAAATAATGAATCAAATTTGTAGAATGTCATTGACAATTTTACTAATGGAAAAACAAGCAAAATGGCACTTTAAAATGTAAGAATTAAAGTTAGCTGTTAAAATATCAATTCCTTCCAGATGCTATCATTGTTCTAACCAATCTTTTAATGTTTATAATTCAAGTGGATGAAAGCACAAATAAATTGTGTTTCGTATACTATTGCCCTGGTCGGCATAATTGTTAGCGATGCTGACTGCCACATAGCTAGACTTAGGGAGCGAATCACTAAGAAGTCATGGACATGATTACATTATAAATATGAATGGATTATAGATACATGATTGCATTATAAATGTATAATGTGAGTGATATGGAAACATTTAAAATATTTGTAAGGCAACAATCCTCGAGTGCTTTTGTAGTAGGGGAAGATAGGTGTGAGAAATGACACATAAGGTGAATTTAATCAATATAAAATTAAGTAAAAATTTTTATAATCATTAAAATAATTAATAAGCAACAGGTAATAATAGAAAACAAACTGTTTTGTATGTAAAATTTTATTTATTTTTTTACCCTCTGAAACACAAAATTTATAAATTACTAATGAAATTAATTATAGGTCATATATCTAGGTGTAGCACTGAATTTTGCATATGATTTAATGACTTTGTTAATAGCTTCCAGAAAGTCCTTTTCGGTTGCAATTTTACGTCGAGCTCTAATGGCAAACATTCCAGCTTCTGTGCACACGCTACGAATTTCAGCTCCTAAAATAATTAATTATATAAAATTTGAAACTTTTCTTTGGGTAAAAAAAAGAGAGAGAGAGAGACAAATCCAAAAACACTTCCATAAAAGCTTGATTATTTGGAAAACTTGGGAAATGCCAATGCTAACTATGTAAAAATTTAAGATACTCGAGCATGCAAGAAATGCAGTTTACAGTCGAAAAGGCAAATGAATGGGGAGAAGAAATTTCAGGTTTACATTTAAAATTATGCAGGATTTTGGGTAGAAGCAATACATTTATGATGTAAAAGCCAATGCATTTTGTAGGTCTTACAATGAAAATAAAATGTTTTATCTGATTATGAAATCCTGTTGAGCATAAAAGTTGGCAGAGATGTCACCAAACATACACCAATCATCCTAGGAGGATATATAAATATATCATCCTACATTTGTCAATATATTATTCTATATTTAGTTAAATAATTAAGAGATACAAGTTACAGCAATAAAATACTTAAATCACTATCATAATTTTTATGCCAGGGAAAACTTTACAAAATCGAAACCAGCTATTTAGAATTAATTGGGTTTACATAATATCAAGGCTAAGATCTTATGATTGCATTGTGATGTTGTTCTTATCCATTATTGGCATTAAATCACACTGCTTAGCAGCAGTACTCTATATGTGCTCTATAATGTTTCACAAACCTCATTTTTTCAGGAGAAAAATTTAAAAAAGTATAATATACTCTGGTTGTTCAGGTGATCCAGATAGTCAGGCTTTTATTGTATTTAAACAATCAATCAAAATATCAGAATTTCTTACCTGTGCTGTTGGGACACAAACGGGCAAGCAACTCAAACCTGATGTCACGTTCCACACTCATTGATCTTGCATGTATCCTGAAAATGTGCGTCCTTCCCTGAAAAATGATCAGAATTGAATAAATTGCAAAAGATATAAAACAGCACAATTTGAAACACTATTCTAAAGCCTTCATAACAGATGACTTCTTGAGTTTTAAAATTTTGAAAACTTTGGCAGCAGTTACGGATCTTGAGGCAAACAATTTACCAACCTCTCATCAATCTAAAGAGAGAGAAGATAAATTTTTGACAGCCATAAATATCCAACTGTAAGAACATCTCTGAAATATTTTTCTTGGTACTTTCCCTTTTGCCATGTTAATACAGTGAGAAAGAAATCTAGATGAAATGTTTTATAAATGTGTTTTAGCGTCTCTGTTACAAATTTCAAACAAACAGATCATCCTGTCTCACAGCAAATGCATCTTAATATTTACTGTTTAGACAAGATCCATGTGGCAATCCATACAAAAAGACTCGTTGATTTCAACAATTTTAGCAGATTCTCTAATTTTTCTTCAGCATACCAGATAAGATATTTTGTGGCAGGGTCAGAAATCTTTTTCACTCTAAAGGAATATTTCAGAAAAAGGGGAGTTCAGCGGACATTGTGAGGTGGTTACAGTAATAATACAAATGAATATATGTAATTGTATGCAATTAATGTTAATTCACATGGATTGAAGTATTCTAACAATTTATTTTATTACCAAAAGATTTAGAAAAAAAAATTGCCACAGCCTGTTTTTCATAAATATTGCAAGCCAGGCAAAAGAAAACTAGGAATTATTGTAGTGCAACTTAAATAAGTTGTTGGGAAAAAAATGAAGCGAAATTATTTTCTTAGTACCAATCATTGTGCGAGGAGCACTGCTTGGATCTTTTCATGATCTGTCAACTCGAAGAGAAGAATGCGTATTCTGCTTACAACTCGAAATACAAACTCAAGAATTAAAAAGGTTAGATACAAACAGAGGTTGTAGATGAATGCATAGCATGCTGTGATTGGATAGATTATATGAAGATAATAGGGTCAGAAAATAGTTCATTGTATGCTTGAAGCATTCGAAAATTGATTCATCTGCAGATGTCACTGAATTTTTGTCAAAAGTTTAATTTCATAATTTGTGTAATTAATAAGATGGCAAAGCTAAAACAAGAATTTTTTGAAACATTATCCATTGTAATCACAATTGTTTGTTGTCCAAATATCTAAAATTCAGAATTTAGATAACTGAATGGCAAGCACTGTGTTGCCAACACGTTTTGAGTAAACCTGCTTGTTAAAGTTGCTCTAGTCAAAGGCTGTATTGTTACAGATATTTCTGACTTCCCTTTATTGATGACTTTTCTTCTAACCAACAATATATAAAATGTAATGCAGTCAAAAAGCAAATTTTTTACCATGCTTTCTCTCAGAGTTGCTCTTCTGTTTTAGGCACAGTTTAAATGCACAATACCACGTAAGTTTCTAATAAAGTTTAATTTCATGACTGTTCTCTAAAATCCTGATGAGTTGCAGTATTTCCTCTCCTAGGAAGAACAGAGCTGAATTGATGGCAAATTGAGTTAACATATTTCTAGATAAAATATAAATTTAAGAGAGTAAATGAATATCAGAAGAACTCAGCGTGATTAGCTAGGACACGAGGCACACAGGAAGAAAACATATAGAAAATACGAAGGCTTCCATAACTATAATAGTTGAAATATAAATTTAAAAGAGTGGATAGAATATCACACTAATGAAGAACTGAACGAAAAAGCTAATGCACAAAAGACATGAGGCCCATGTGACGAAAACACAAGGAGAAACATTATTAGAGAACATTACTTTTATAGATAAAATATAAATTTAAAAGAGCAGATGGATTATCAAAATAAAGAAGAACTGAATGGGAAAAGCTAATACATTAAAAAAAGGGGAGGACAGATGAAAATACATTAAAAAAATAAGGGTTACCATACTAAACAGCATCAAGGCTACCTTTATAGATAATTTATGATGTTGCCTCAAAAATCTGCAAGTACTCCTTTAGTTTTCCAGCTGTATAATTAATTGATGAAGAATTCCTCATTTTGTGAGGCTATCCAAAACAATGACAAAGAAGCATTTAGTTGTATTTTCAATATGTACGATTTAAAAATTTTGGCACCTACAGTTATCAAGTAATTTGTGAAACGTCCTCTAATCACTTCAGCATTTAAGGCAATAATTCTTTTTCAGTTAATGGAAGACTAAACAGAATTTTGGTAACCCACAGTCACTTACTCTGTAGATGTCCGTAAGCTTCACTTGCACCTGGCAGTAAACGAATGTGATTTTGATTCTTGGAAAATCAGTCATAGCTGCAAACTTGTCAGCAACTTTTTCTCAGATACATGTGTAAACAAACTTTTAAATAAAACTACATTAATAAATGTTACTGAAGTCATTCAGCATTTTCTGCAAGTGCATCAGCACACTTTTTTTTTTTCAATACACACAGACTACAAATCTCTAATTTTTTTTTTGTTTCAATTAAATGTCTACTTGTGGGTATATGTTGTGTTATTTTCTTATATTAAATTTAGGCATATATTGTGAATATTAAAGAATGTGTACAATTCTCAAATGCTGACTTCAAACTTATATGCTCCTTTAAGCTGTCACCAGGCAGCACATGATGTCACATTGCAAGCAGGTCAGAGAAGTTGCAATGTGGTGGTGGTAGCTTTTTGGAAGTTTTTGTGAAGTAGCGCAGCTGCAGAATATTTGCTGTTACATATTGCCAATTTGTTGACATTGATGACATGTCATAAAATAACCACTTTTTGATGCGACCATTCTAAGTTTCTTCATAGTTTATCAGCACTAGATTTACAGAGCAAATAGACTTTTTAACTCTTTCAAAACTAATGATTTCCCAATGATTAGATTTAAAAAATTTATTATTAATCTATCCCATTTTACATTAATCTAAAGTAAATGTATCAAATAAATATAAATTCAATAAAAATAATCTTTATATTAATTTCAATTAATACTTTAGAATAAGTATTCAATTATTGTTTAAAAATTTTGCTAAATTAACACCCTTAGGAAAAATGCTTGTAGAAATGCATTAGCTGTATTATAGTATGCAAATGCAATTTTTCTGCATAAAAGCTATTCTTTAAAAAAAAATGACTAAAACTAAAAGATGATTGACTGGGATAATAAATTGACACTTTTGTATTACTAGTTTTAATGAGGATAACTGAAGCAGTGGTTAAAAAATAAAATGCATGTAGAAACTGTGTGGTGGTGGAGGAGGGAAAAATTTTGCATCGAATCACAGAGTTGCAACAAATTGCAAATATTACATTCCTTTAAAGTGATTTTATTAGTGAAGTATGATATTATTCAAAGTGATGATATTAATGTGTTTACATAAATAAAATTTTAAGTGTTAAAATCTTTTTTTAAATAATTAAATCTTAAATTCTTTTAATTTTGAACTTTGTTAGAAGATATGTAAAGGTACCATCAAAAATAAATAATTCTACCAATTTGTAAACTTTTCAGGAGTTTATTCACATGAAATTAACCCTTTTTGTTTCAATTTGTTATTTATTAACTACTCTATTTAAAACATTCCTTATTCTACATAAGACTGATATATGATGCTTTTTATTGAACGTAAAATTTTCTTGTAATAATTTAAAGTTGTCTTACGATAATGGGATTCAGATTAGTAATTTGTTATAAGGGTTATTCTAAATTTCAATTAACTGAATAAAAATCATAGATTAGTTTACTTTTACTAAAAATTCACAGTAAATATTAATTTTAGTTATGTTGATTATATTTCCAAACGAAACTTAGTAGATGGATTGAATTCCAAATGAAACCTAGAAGTTTCATCTAAAAAAATGTTCCAAACATGATTTTGTAAATTAGTTCATAAGTGAAATATATATCAGTAAATGCTTAGAAATATTTTTAAATTAAACAGATCCCCTTTTATTTTACATACTTATAATAAGAGCTATCTTCAGTAAATATTACTTATGGTTTCTAGAAAATGAATGCACAGTTTTTATGCAAAAAAATTATATCTAATGCTGAGATATTCTTGGGGGAGGGAGGAAATGAATCATTCAGAACATTCAGGTAACTATTAATGACATTAAACAAAAAACATATCTTTCTCATATATTTTCCATATAAATGATGATATCCCATGATAAAAACATGAAAACATACAGAGAGAGAGAGAGAGAGAAAAAAAAAAAAAATTGTAATGAATGTGGGAAATCATATATTTTGCCTACTACCTTTAAGTGTCTGTCCCTTCTGTGGTATTATATATGACAATGAATTGGGGGGGGGAGAACTTTCAGAATTAGAAAACTTTTGATTACTGTGCAAACATCTGCCATTACTACGTGAAATTCTAAATCTCAAAGGGTACAAAATTGACAATTTATACAAAATTCCTCAGGTAGCATGTTATTCACACAGTGAATAAAAATGACATATACAGTGAAACCTCCTTACAACAATATTTTAGGGACCAAATAAATATATTGTTGTAGAAAGGCATATTGTTATATTGAGGGCTCACATATTTTGAGCATTTAATAAGAGTTTTTTTTTAATTATTATTAGTTTAAGGTGCATAACATACAACTTTTAAGTCTATATTTAGAAGAAATTAATTTGTAAAATACTAATAATAGTGGTTTAAATACTAAAAAAATAAATAAATAAGATAAATTCAGAAAATAAGCACAGAAATATTCTCATACCTGAAAACACTCTTTATTGAAAATAATCCAATATTTTTGTTTGTTTATTGATTTTTTTAACTGTTAAGTTCACCAATACTGTATGCATTGAGTCTAGTGCACGAAAATGTTTTTCATTTGTCGACGGAAGGCTTGAAAAAAATGTCCGTAGAGAATTCACAGATTGAAGAGCTTCTTGGGATGACAATAAGGACTGCGATGGACCTGTATTATCATCATCATAAATATCATCATCATCTTCATCATTGTTTCCTATCTCATCAGTAACTCCTGCGAAAACCAT